TGTGTGTGTGTGTGTGTGTGTGTGTGTGTGTGTGAGAGAGAGAGAGAGAGAGAGAGAGAGAGAGAGAGAGAGAGAGAATCAATCAATCAATCAGTCAATCAATCAATCAATCAATCAATCAATCAATCCAAGCAATCAAGATCCTAAGATCTTGATTGCTTGGATTGATTGATTGATTGATTGATTGATCTGATTGATTGATCTGATTGATTGAAGATTGCTCGGATTGATTGATTGATTGATTGATCTGATTGATTGATTGCCCTCATACCTGTGTCCAATGCTGACATGGCCAGGTTGCGAAGCAAATCGCATATCTGGAAGCATGTCACACAAGGATAGAAGGTGGGGACATGGGAGAAGATGCACAGCGACCACAAGTTGCGATGCAACTACTGTAAGGTCGTGTACCACGGAAACCAGTTCAAGGTCGCGCGACACTTCACGCAGCCTAAGAGGTGCAAGCAGGTTCCGATGTCAGCGTTGGCAGATACTTGAAACAATACGGATTACAAATTCGACTACCGGCACGAACCTGGTATACGGCAGTATATGGAGGGGTAGGGCATAGTCGACGCTAGATCTCTGTCACAGCGGGGCACGCAGGCGAGGCAGGCTGGTGGAGGGGGGTGTGCACGCCGGCGAGAGAATATTATGGAGGACTCGGCTGTGGACGAGGTGGAGGCATTTCTAGAGGAGCGGGAGAGGCGAGATGCCGATGCTAGGCGAGGGACTGCGGAGGGTGGTTTGAGTCCTCGATCTCCGCATTTGAGAGGGGAGGAGGTTGTGATGACTGCACGTGGCACGGGAGGTGCATGTCGCGATGCTCAGGAAAGAGATAGAGAGAGAGGGAAGAGGGCAGTCGATGAGGCGTACACGACGTTCCTGCGCAGGGGCGCAAGAGACCCAGACAGTCGACCATTGGCGAGGTGTACGACGGCGACGCTCAGCAGCACACGAGGAACACATTTTTGCAGTGGGTGTACGACTCGGGTATTCCGTTCCGTGCTTTCCGAAGGAAGTCTTAGAGGAGACACCGCAAGGCGGTGGCAGACTTGCCACGTGGAGTACGGCTCGTGTATCCCACTTTCAAGGAGATTGGGGGAAGTGGGGTTACATCTCAACGAGATGCAGTCGCCACCATGCTCGCGAATGTTCGCGCATCGTTCAAGGTGATTACGGCCACCACCTTGACAGATGGTAGGAGGTCTAGGGATTTGAAGCCGATTATTAACTTCCTTGCTACTGGCAAGCATGGCGCGCTCCTGTACGCCACAGTGTGTCGGGATGGATCAGTTCCTTAAGCCGCGGAAATAGTCCTGAGGAGATGGAAGGTCATTTTTAGGTCCTTCCCTCCGAATGACGTTTTGGCGATCTGCATGGACTGCGACCAACTACACGTCGGCTGCAAAGCTCCTTGCGAAGGACGCTGACCCGGAGCTGTGTCGCATCACGTGGCTCCCGTGCTCCACCCACGTCTGCAACTTGATGTTGTCAGACAAAGGGACCCGGGTAGACTGTATTGCCTCGGCCATTCGTCGTGGAAGGGCCTTGGTGCAGGTTATCAAGATGCACGGCGCTGCTCTTCACCTTTTCAGGAGGAAGAGCAAGCGTTGATCTCTTGTTTAGCCAGTGGAGACGCGATTTGCGTCCGTTTTTTTATGCTCCTTTGCCTAAAGGAGCGTAGAGACGCCTTCGAGTCGATGTTGCACGCGGACGCTTGGGACAGCATCCCCTGGGAGTCTCGGTTGGTCGAGCAGGCAGTATAGGTGTGGCAGACCATCCGTGACGCAGAGTTTTGGCGGGATGTGGACTATGCCATTCTCGTCATGACCCCCCCACCAGTTGTTGAGGAGGTTGGACAGTGGCGGGATAGTTATGTCGCTGGTTTACTCTTGGAGTCGTCTTGTGGTCACTGAGTTGTGAGCCTTACAGGAGGTTCAAGCAGTCCCCTCCGAGATAGTCAAGGATTGTATCGACCAGGTCCTCGCCCGTCGTCAGCATATGTTGGAGTCGGCGCATGCCACAGCGCATCTCCTTAACCTTCGCAGGCGTTCTCTTCGATACTACGACGCGAGGGTGAGGAATGCGGAGGACTTGGAGGTCGTGCAGGAGTGCGACAACTTCTTCCTTGCCCAGACGGGGGTTGATCGGGCAGGCGCTCGCTACTTGCGGGTGCGTGAGCAAACGAGATTGTTTCACGCGTGTATGGGCCCTTTGACGATCGACCTTGCCATGAGGGATGCGGAGGCACGGGCATGTGTTGGGGATGACGAGACACCGAGATGTGCAGCTTGGTGGCAGGAGCACGGAGGCGCATACCCCGACCTCCGGGAGATTGTAGCGCGTGTGCTGCACATGTGGATGTCCGCCTCTCCTGCTGAGAGGAACTGGGCGGAACATGAGCGTGTATGCACGACGAGGCTTAACAGGCTGGAGTTCGCAAAGCTCGCTCAGTTGGTTGAGATTGCCACCAATCTCAAACTGTTGGACTGTTCTGAGTCGTCAGCCGGTTACGTTCTTCCGTGGGGAGACTTGGACGCGCTAGAGGAGGTACGGTCTGGGGATGCGGAGGGCGGTTCAACAGGGCCTGTAGACGAGGAGCCAGAGCCTTCGATATGGGGAGCGCGACCCCGGGGGTCAGTGACGAACGAGGAGTTGACGTCTCTGAGACGTCGATCACAACAACTAGGTAATCGTCGTCCTCGTCCAGTAGTGGAGGTTTTTGGTGCGAGAGCCGCAGTGCTCCTTCCCTACGAGGGGGAGGTGCAAGAGGAGGAGGTTAGGATGACCCGACTCGGGCAGCGCGCGACGAGGCCGTTGACAGCGATGAGGAGTGGACAGACCCTGAGGAGATCGCATGTCGTGTAGATAAGAGTCTAGAGGGACTCTACTTCGCATAGGGTGGAGATGCCACTGGGGCACAGCCTCGGACTACGCTGATTAGAGCGGACGATGATCCTCCACGGGAGGCATGCGAGACTCAGGCAGGCGTTGACCATGGCACTGGACGTGGCACGGACACGGACCGCACCGGCTATGCTACACAGGGGAGGAGGGTGTTCGGTGTTGACAGCACCGACGATGAGCAGGCGCGCAAGGACGACGAGTTCTTATTGCGTGCACGTGATTCACCAGCACCTCAGGTCGCCGAGGGAGGAGAGCCTCTTAGACGGTCGGCGAGGCTGGTTAGCCGCGACACTACAGCCCCACAGACAGAGACCGCTTGTTCGCAACACCTGGACGAGATAGTGGGCGATATGCCGGAGGGTGAGGAGCCCGAGCAGTGCACTCCAGTTCAGGAGGAGCCATCAGAAGATATTCCTTCAGTCTTACGGACGAGCGACTTCATGGTGGGTGGGATTGGCACGTCCGATAGCGGTATTGGTAGACGTCAGCACGTTCGATTGGGGGACATGGCCGACTACTATCCTGATGACAGCCACATTGAGGAGACTCGGGCAGAGCGAGACGCGCGCATTGACGCGGAGGAGGAGAGGCATTTGTCTCGGATGCAGTGGGCAGGGAAAGTGGCTTATCAGGTGGAGGTGGAGCGCATGAGACGGCTAGAGACCATTGGTGCATGTGGCGATCATAAGAGCGCGGAGGCTGTGCTCAGACAGGATGCTGCCTTGCAGCCTTCGGGTGGGGGACATGTTTCACCACATCCGCCGACGTCGCTACCACACACGATCACTGACCGGCCTGGTGCGACACACCATTCCACTCTCTCACCATCCCCGACCATTATGGGACATGCTGATGTTGCACCTGTGTCTGCATCGCCTTCTGGACCATGCGGGTCGCATGTGTCTCATGCTCCTCTTACCTCAGAGGCAGGAGGTTCAGGCACGGTGGACTCAGAGTCGCAGGTTATGTGCGACGTTGTGGCACCCGGAGGTGCGTAGGTGGAGCAGGTGTTCAGTCACGAGGACTATGGTGTTGACGCTGGGGCTGAGGGTATGGAGACGGATGTTGCAGACATAGAGGAGCCACACAAGGTGCCCATTGACATTCAGCCCGTCTCGGATGAGGTTCCTGCGGGAGACATGACACGAGGCGACCAGGAGGAGTTGGGAGGGCACGGAGAGGAGGGCAAGGCGCGAGCGCTGTGTACCAGCTTGAACTAGAAAGGGGCCTGACATCGCCGATAACGGCAACGACGATTATGCTGGTGGCCTGAATCCTGGCCTTGTCAAAACGTCCAGGATCTGGTCTAAAGTGCTCCACATGAAGTCCAACCTGCTGTCCACGTGCGCATGCAGTGACAGCATGTTCTTCCTCAACACTTTCATGGGCTCATTCATTCCTGAATCATCTAAGCCCCCCAACTCAGCTTTGTCAGCCTCTAACGTCTCAAGTCTGGCTGCTCTACTTTTCATCGCATTTTCTCTATCGGTAGCATCTTTCAGGTCCTGCTCTAACTTCCGGCGGAGCCTCTCGACCTGCGGGATCTCTCTGAGCTCCCTCTCACGTGAGGTCAGCGGGCTGAACTGCGAGCCCGCCATTTGACTAGAAGACTATCTAGAACCTGTTGCCATTTGACTAGAAGACTATCTAGAACCTGTTGAACCGGAAGTGCCCGTGGAACTTGTGGAACTTGTTGGCATTCCCAACTGGTTCCCATTAGTCCCTGACGAAGATGCAGCCCCGGCTGCTGCTGCGCCAGACATGGCGGCTGCCCTGGCTGCTGCTGCAGCCTGTTCCCTAGCTGCAACGTTCGCTGTTGCCCTAGCTGCTGCTAGTGCACGGGCTCTACGGTCGGCCTTAAGCCGTCTTTCGTCTCCCGGTTGTAGGGCCTGGTACACGTGTGGGACCCTAAGGGTCCTCGAACGTGTCAATCTCCTATCGTCAACTCTTTCATCCACAGGGTCTGTTCCGCTCATCAATTAGGCAGACAGTATCTGCACTAGAATCCCCTAGTGGAATCCTACCGCAACATGTGTCTTACCGGCACTTAATTTTCTAAATATAGTTGTGTCCGCGAGATCCCTACTGTACCGAATCAAGTGGCATGTCTACAACATTCACACAGATTGTCTACATAGTCTAGATGTATCTCGATGAGTTCACTTACAACAGACTTAGATAGAACTGGCTATGGTAGCTTACAACAGTCCTACTCTAATTTGTCTGTGAGGTGTTAGCAGTCTGTCCACCAACTAATCAAAGATACAAAAAGACAATGTAGCAGATGTATGATGAGTGGGTATGGTTGTGTATTCAGTTGAGCACCAATTGGAACCCACCCTCCCCTCCATCCAACATACCGAACAGCATCATTAAGCGAGCAGTGTCTTCGTGTGTGTATCGGCCCACCCCTGTGCCCAAGTCAGAGCCAAGTAAGCCAGCCAGCCCACTCTTATTTACCCTCGTACGGAAACGAGCCTTACACGTGGATGATCTGGCTGATCAGGAGGATTATTAAGAGCGCCCCCATCTCTGCAGGAATTATTTAAGGTCGCAGTCAAGACGACGATCACAGCCAGAATCATTCCGAGTACCCAACCAGAAATGTTTATAGACGGTCTGGTAAGCGCCTCATACAAGCCTGGCACACTTGGCAAGACTTCTATTTGGCGCAGCAAAGTGCCTTAATGGACAGCAGCCATCGCATGCGTGACCTACTCCCATTGGGTTGGCATGGTGACCGTGACCCAGTGCTTCGACCAGGGCCCTTCAGAGACACCGCCCTTTCTCCTTCCAGATGCTTCCGGGAAGATTGTCATCTCTCAAGGTAGCGCGCTCACGACACCTCACCAAAAGAGAGGACTCTCAAGTTGGACTCACTTCCTCACGGTAAGAAGAGATTGAGAGAGTAGATAAGGTAAGGGAACAACGTACCTGGAGATAGCTGCCCCCAACCACAGATTTCTCACCAATTGAGCTAAACGTGCATTTGTTGACCGGTCATGACCTCAGTACCACCCACAACGAAATGCAGTGCCACCTCAGCTGAATGCAACATCAGCATGCTCTCATCACCAATCATACATTCCGCATGTAACCCATGGCATACACTGCCGTATTAGCCTTCCGGTGCACCCCTCTCTACCCAGGGCGTGCACCTAACGTGGCCTGACGTCACAAGTACCCACTGCGAAGAAGCATCGTCAACACACCAAGTCTGTACAACGCCAGCGTGCCAAAGGTAAGTGACGATCAAACCAGCTCTGAGACCAAATTGCAAGGAACATGAATATGGACGAAGCACAGAAATCCAGAATGCAAAATCACACTGAAGTCCAAGTAGTCAAAGCCAAAGCAGATAGCACAATGGAACCGAGTAACCATCCAATTGAGAATGATACAGAAGAATCGTGAATCAATGTCCATGCCCAATAGGGCAACACCAACAGCATAACCCAAATGTAGCTCTCTCTTGTGAATGGCGCCAGGCGCCCTATCTACTCTAAAGCCTAGCCTACAACTACAGCAATGAAAGCAACCAGACAACTTGACTACCAGCGAGTGATGATGTCAACACCAATGCCGACCTCCACCTCCACCAGGTACGTGTCCTCTTCACCCACACTCTCCCTTGTACCCACACAGCGCCCTTCACCTCCGAAGACCACCTTCACCTCTCACCTCTCCTGCACCCTCATGCGGCCCGGCTATGGCCGCCAGTGCCTTGCATGCAGGCAGCGCCCTACCGCCTAGCGCTGGCCTGCTTCACCCCAGCGCAGCGCAGCTCTTGCACAGCACAGCACACATGCACTTGCGCAGCGTGCCCGCAATGCCTGCATTGGCCGAAGTCCCTGCCCACTCGCCCTGCTTGCCTATATGCCCTGCTTGCCTATATGCCAGTACAGCATGTGGGCGGCCTCCCTTCAGCCTGCGACCGGGACCCAGAGGCTGAACCCAGGCCGATACAGTTGAGGCCCGGGGGATGCAGTTGCACCTCTTTCGTCAAGGCCTGCGGCCAGATTCAGATAGTGGGC